AGCCCGGCGGCATATGGTTCAGTTGATTCATGGGTGAAACAAAACTAGTCCAAACCATAATCCACGAGCGCAGAAACGCTAAACCGATATGTGATTCACAATGGCTTCTGTGCCCCTTTGCAGGGAATCCCACTGTGCACCCAGGTGGGAAAGCACAGCGAAACACACTTAGATATAGGTTGCAGTGAGAGAAACCACGGAGAAAGGAATGGTGGAACTGCATGGCGAAATGTCCGTGCGATTTGTAGATGGTTGAACAGAAAGGTTGACGCGCAACTGCAGCATTTTAGTTACTGAACACTTAGCGGTCCCGAATTATGGCCATGCATAATGGGGTAAGTTCCATCTGGAAGCTAGAAAATAGCTAGAAAAAGAAATGAAGGTTCCAGCTTATAGCTAGGGGGCGAGACTTTCGAATTGTCCCATTAGATTAGAAAAGGGTCAGCAGAAGGAAAGGAACCAACGCACAAGTCCGCCGAGAACCATTTCCTTCTGTTGTCCTGGATAGCAGTGCAGGTACGTGGAAATGGCGTCCCATTTCCATATCCTCAGATACATCGCCAGCTTCGTTGACCAGGCGACGATGTATCCTGCCTGGTCCCCCGCTTGTTTTGTCACAAAGGAATTGAAACTCCTGGAGACGGAGTGGGACACACACACACACACACAAGAGGCCCGTTTCAAACATGGAAGACCCGAATACATTAATCGCCGAAAGACAACTTTTGACACATGGCTTGAAGAACTGCCAACTGGCTGAGCTCACACAGTCTCGGAATGAGGACTACAGTGACTACAGTGGATAGTTGCTACCGGTTGGATCCATCTAACTCCTTATTTGTGACCCAAGTCTTTTGCAGACCCCAAAAAGTACGAGTCATCCGCCCTGGAGTCCAGCACTGCCGTTGGAGCACTGGAAAAGCGCTCCACCCACGAGGGGGCTGGATTTGAGCAACAACGTCTTGAACTCGCTACCGGAGTACGTGGGCAGCTTGAAGAACTTGCGGTGCCTGGTCTCAGCCGAGTCACGGGTTGACATGGGCTGACTGGGGGGTTCTTGATGTTCAAACGCAGAAAGACAAACATCTCACTGGTGTTCCTGGTGGGTTTTGAGTTTATCATTTGGTTTGTTCTTTTGTTCTTACGTTGGCCCAGGGTATACGGGTATAGGATATGAATTAACATACCGGGCCCTTTTGAACAGCACGGTTCTATCCGTTGTCGTTTTTGCCCAAGCACCACCTGCAGTATCCTCCTACTACTTTGCTTAGATTTAGACTTCAAATCGTGCCTGGGTACAACCAAGTCTCTCACGGACATGCTCCTTCAGCAGTTGGTTGCATTTGACGAAGTGAACTGGATGGTTTCATCCTAGTTATCAGATCACGAATCATCGTGTGTTTCAAAATGTTTGCCATGTTTGACTGTGTTCTTTGGCAAGCGGAAGGGGTTGGACTGGTGATTCAATCCTTGAGGGCACACCAACCCTGCACTCTGCTATCCTTGCATCCTGTCAAAAACATTCAAAAACCTGTCCATTGGAAATGGTGTCAGAGCAGGACTGCAATGTTTGGGATCCTGAGCCTTGGGTAGGAGCCAAAACTTTTCCAGACGGACCAAAGCAGGAGAAGAGTGCTCATTGAGAAGCCATGCGTCTCGATTTTATTCCCCAATAGCGATAGCTTGGGGTTGTACACTCTTTAGGCAGCTGGGCGCCATCGGATCCACGGCCCCCAGCCTCGGCGGTGGTGTCCGGTGTCTCGGTCGTGTTTACGTGGTGTCTTGGTCGTGTTGATGGTGTCTCAGATCTCGGTGTTGTCTCGGTCATGTTTAGGTGGTGTCTCAATCATGCTTAGGTGGTGTCTCCGTCATGTTTAGGTGGTGTCTCGGTCACGTTACGTGGTGTCTCGGTCATGTTTAGGTGGTCTTTGGGTCATGTTTTCGTGGTGTCTTGGTCATGTCTACGTGGTCATGTTTCTGTGGTGTCTCAGTCATGCTTTGGTAGTGTCTCGGTCACGTTTGGATCGTTTTGGTGGTGTCTCGGTCATGTTTTGGTGTCTCGGTCATGTTTTGGCGGCGTCTTGCTCATGTAGTGCGCGGGCTATGTTTTCGTGATGTTATCGTTTCCGTTTTGTCGTTTTGCAAGTGGCAAATCGGTTCTGTCTTCACGGTGGTTCGCTGACATTTTGGTGGTGTCTCGCTTCTCGGTCTCAGTCTTTCCACGTGTGTGAACTGTGCGCTTGCATGCCCATACACCTGGTGCACATTGCCCGCGGCATTCAAACTTGTTTCTTCTCTGGTGCCAGAACTTACTTTACGAGCTGTTTGACAACTGCATTCGTTGTACCTTTCGTGTATATAGAATACGTTCGTCTGTACTTGCACTCTCTGTCTGGTGTAGTGATAATATCCCAGTTGTCCTCTGTATAGCTTTTGTTCCTCACATTCCTTGTGTGAATCGAACTTGCATGCATATGTGAAAAATGTTTGTATAGCATGCATGCACACACCTCTCCTTGGTGCGACTTTTGTTTTTACCGTGTAGAAATAGAAATTGTTCTTCAGACCTTTACACCATGAACAAACACTTGAGCACTTGAACATACAATTCAGCCATCGGCGAACATTCCTCAACTCCTTCGTGGTCTATGGAACATACTAACTTGGATATTGAATTATTTGCATGTTTGTGTGTCCAAACTATTGGATTGCATTTCACTCTTTGTGTGTTTAAAAAATTGTCCTCGAAATTCGATGTGTGAAAAAGCAACGCGACGAACAATACACGCAGAAAAAAAGGTGCTAAATCTTGGTGGATGCTTTGCTATTGAGGTTGCCAGCTGGGTTTTATAATTCAACACACATTCTAAAATTCACCAGTGCGTTTATTCACAAACACGGGCTGAGAATGGCTGAGCATGACCAACAACACGAAACAGTTGCTGATGTTGATGCATGTTTGAAATGTTCTCGCGATCAGTTGCACTTGGAGTTTGAAAGCGGAACTGAGGCATCTTGAGTTGCAAAACAACCATCTGAGCTCAGTGCCATTCTCGTTTGGCAACCTGAGCAGCTTAGAGCAACTCGACCGCCCTGGTGGGGCCACAGCGGCAACTCGAGCAACTCTCAGTGGCGGCAGGCAGATTGGTAGATAGAGCAATCGTTGCTTCAGAGATGGTTCCAGAGACGACATGGGACTGGCATTCTACCTACCCTTCACCCTGCAATTCAACCACTCCAGTGTATGTCAATATGCCAGTCCCATGTGTCGTGTTTGAGGGACAAGAGGAGGACGAAAAACAGACACTTCAGCTGGAAACTTTTCTGAGAGAAGCACGCTCCGTACTAACCTACAATCTCCTGTCCGGCCTTTGTACATGTTGGAGCTACATGTCCTTCGAAACCACAAAGACAGGTCTTTTGATCATGTCTCACAATATGAGTTTGTTCAAGGATTACCCGGACGATGCTAAAGAAACGTGGGGGTGATTGATCAGATCATTGTTGTTTCATGCTGATCACCTGCACTTGTCGCTCGACACAGCTAAGGAAGCTTGATTTGTCCAACAACAAGTTGAGCGCGTTGCCGGGATCATTTCACAAGCTGACAAATTTAAAGCACCTTGGCAGCTCACTATAGCAGACCTAAAGGTTTATATTTGCGTCGTTGTTTTTTCAGTTTTTTCCACTGCAGGCATCTCTATTTGCAGCACAACAACCTGACATCATTCTTCAATACCTCAGGGAAAAACCTTCAGCTGGAAGTCTTGCTGCTGAATGACAACCAGTTGTCCAATGACTTGTTAGCATTTTGTGGGCTTAAGAATGCGAGCACCCTGTATTTACACCAGAACCGGCTGGGCGGCCAGATTCCAGGAATGATTGCTGAGCTTAACTCCATTCAAGTACTCACACTCCACCGGAATTCATTGACCGGAAAGATTCCCTCGGAACTGGCCACGTTGCCCTCCTTGCAGCTGCTCACCTTGCACGAGAACCGCCTCACTGGAGAAATTCCGCCCAGCTTCAGTGTCCGAAATGCGTCGGCATTGGTGTTTCTCTCGGCCTTTTCCAACGATTTGACCGGCTCTGTTCCTGAAATGACCTTGCGTGGAGGCTGCGTGGACGATCAGTCCTTTCGCATGGAAGCTGCATGGAAGAAGCGGGATGCCTCAGTCACCAGCACCATTAGCTGTGCCAGGAAGGATGAACTAGATAATTTTGATCTGACCTCTGAGGAAAGGCAACAGATCCAAGACGCATGTCCAAATGTGTATGGACTTTGTGGCACAGCCCCCGCCAGAGGTCCAACACTCTTGTTGCAGAGCAATCGTCTCTCGTGCCCTTTGCCATCGCGCGTGGAGGATCCCGAAGTTGAGTCCTCGAACTTCACACTTCGCTCCCTGGTCATTGCGGGGAACATGCTTGGCAACCATTGGGTAGACCTGCCTGAGTGGGTGTCAGAGTCAGAAAGACAACCCTTCTTGTACATCTCATCCTCCAAAATCTTAGGCGTCCCGGTCTCAGACATGCAGAGGTTTTTACTCAGCTTCCTTGGTCTTCTGACCTTGTACGCTTTGGCCTTGAGAAAGATGAAGTGGAGGGAGTGCGTCAAGGATATGCCCAATCAGGATGACCTCACACAGCTTTCGCACGCCTTCCTCATTCGTAGTATTTTGTTGATGGGGCCTGCGGCACTGCTGCTTCTCCTTTGCTACACATGGCACAGCTCTTATTACCAGTGTGGTCACCAATTCGCAAAGACTACCCTTGCCTACTTTGATGGCAGCCGATACGCGCAGTTTGCGCTTGCTTGTCTTTGGTTGGTTTGGGTGTTGGGATGGCTTGACTTGATACGACTGGTCCCAAAACCAACAGCCGAGGCGGTTGACCGGCTTGTCCGAGGTGGTAGCTTTTCCAAGGCAATGTGGTGGTGTATTTGGATGATCATCGTAGTTGTTTTGTCTTCGCCATCCTTGGGATATGCATTTGTGCAATCATTGCCGAAACAAAACAGCTTGGGCTTGTCCAGCACCTATGTCTCAAAAGCTATCCATTTTGGAGCTGCTTTGCTCATGATTCTAATTGACCCTTGGCTCGAACTGGCGGATATTGAATGTGCAGAAGTATCGTCCAGTTCAAGTCCCATAGACTCCATGTATGCCATATATGCCTACATTGGGGTGGTTTGAGGGGTCAATGTAGGCACATGTGGCATACATGGAGTCTATGGGTAATATATAACGATATGTTTGACATGACCTGGGCTTCATGCAGCTAATGTTGACTATTGCTTAACAGTATCCCCCGAATGGAGACGTTTGACCAGCATTGACAAAAGCCCTCATAGGTTATGAGAAACAGCGTTTGATTCGTTTCTCGCATGTCGTGGCATTTCTTGTGTCCACCGGGAATACAAAAACGATGCAACAGGGGGTGCGGTTCCTGCGGGCAGCACTTGTGTTTTGTCCCATCGGTTGCATGTGGCAAATCCTCACACTGACGTATCGGAAGCTTACTGTTTCAGTGGTATGCTATACGAGATTATATATTCGTATGTATATACAATATATACATATACACTTTCTATACATAAGTGCATACCAGACAGACAGACGGACCGACCGACCTACCACCCACCCACCCACCTACCTACCTACATCCCTACATCCAGACAGACAGACAGGTACTATATAAGCTGTGTACTATATAAGCTTCACAAGTCGTATGCTGTCGCCTTCGCCTTCGCTGAGGACTTACTGATCACACCGACACTTGTCTCTGATCCAGCATGTTTTTTTGTTCGGATCCAGCCTGAAACCATGACGGTCAACCCTAAACCCAACGACCCCTTGACCTTAAAGGGGAAGGGGCTTCAAGGGGTGAACCAGTGAGTCATAGTGAGTCATAGTAAGTACTTATAGTGAGACTCAGTACAGTAGCTTGTCAGTAGCTACTAGGCTCGCACCGAATGAAGAAGCTTGGGTTCCTTGGCATTGGGAAACTTGAGAAGCTCAAGTGCTGGTCATACACAAAACCGGCACTACCTCCGTGAGTGAAACGCCAAGTGGAGCTTTCGGCCACTTGCAGCCTCGGCACAGCTCAAGCGCAGCATGCTGTGAGGGGAACGTTTCTTGCTGTGAGCGTTTAGACGTTTTCCACAAGAGCGTTCAAAAGCTGCGTTTTCTCATCGCAGCCCTTCTTGATGTTGATTGAGGGACGTCCTGTGGCTGAAAGACCCTCAGATATCTCCCAACTGCCAAGCGGCCTTGTCGCGCCCGTTGTCGGGAGCAGTCTACATAGAAAGCGCGCATGGCATTTTCTCAATTGGACGCGTGCTGGAATTTTCTCGGTGCTAGGCGGAATTTGAGCATACATAAGAAACACAAATGCTTGTTTCAGTGAAGTGAAAGAAAAGACGGCATCCCAACAGAGGTTGAAGGACCCGAACTAGACTATCCCAGTTCGGTATCCCAGTAGGATCCTAGTTCAGGTCACTTAACCTCTCTTGGTCATCCCCCTTTTCTTTAGCGACACGCCGCGACGGACGTGGACCAAGTTGAGGAAATTGGCCATGTGGTTTTCCAAGCGTTCTCGAGTTCCTCGATCTATGCTGTTGATGGCTGCCCGCACGGGCACCATGTGGCTCAATGCCACTCTTTGTGCAATCTACATGAATGAGCACTGCGTGCGCGGATGGACCACGTCACTTGAATCAATAACTGAAGGTCAGTCAGGTCAGTCAGGTCAATAACGACAGAGCACCAGAGTCGATCTCCATCTCACACCCTTCGCTGTGTATGCTGAGTGCATGTGTCAGGTTTTGGCCCATGTGCGATCCAGAGTCAGATCTCTATCGCAACTTCAAGGTCAGCCTTGGACGCCATCCCCTTTTAGATCCCATCAGAGACTTATGCACCTTGGACTTGTGGGCATGGTTGGAAACGAAAGAGTCTTCAGCAACTAATTCAGCACCACCATTTAGATCCATTTAGGACCCAATATGACCCAATGTGGGAAACTCTTCCAAGAATTTTGTGTCCCAAAACACATGAAATGAAATTGTCAGTTGATCCTGGAGCAATGGCACATGCGAGGTGCACGGAATGACCGTTGGTGGACGACAGATGAGTCTTGGACAGTCGAGAAAGCGGGAGGTTGGAGGTGTATTTGTCCCTGATGTTTCACGTTTGGTTTTGTTTCAGGCGCTGGTTGCCCCCTAGTGATGTGATTTCATTTGCACATTTGCAATTCCCACGACGACCATCGCGCGACATATTCCACAAAACATGTAACACAGGGAGTTCTTGGTCCTTGGTTCATGTTCACTTTTATTCGAAGAATGACTTTCGGCACTGCTATGCTGTGCTCACTGCTTCGACTGTCCGCGATTTCGAAGAATGACTTTGGAGTTTGGTGACTTCAAATCCAATGCATTCGATGCTGAGGCTTGCCCACGATCCGTTGTGGAGACTCTGGCACCACTTTTTCTGGCCAAGTTGCTGCAGCGTGCATTCGTGCAGCCGGTGCTTTGGCGACCGTGGGGAGAAACGCGCGGGATTTGTCAGGAATCCATGCAGGCGAAGGCAAAACAGAACCCGGACCTAAAGGTTGAGCAGGTCCTTTGTTTGTGCGAGTGGAATCCATGTATTTGATGGGTGTGCGATGGTGTGCGTGGCGATAGATCGGGTCTTTGCGACAGTGTGAACATGTGTCCTTGAAATGTGTAGTGTTTCCTGTGGTTTGGTCATCGTTGGTTGTGACGATGCTCAGGTAGCAGAACATGGAAAGCAAAGGGCATCCATCATCTATTATAAGTTATTTGCATATATGCACACCCACGCACACAAGCACTCACATACACGCGCACACACTCTGACACTTGTATTCAGTTAAGTCAAGTATCACGATGGG